CTTACGTGTGTAGACAAAACAACTTGAGATATTTTATGACATTTTGTTACCTTTAGAACTCCGTAAATCTCATTCTAAAGTGCAGGAAATGGCATTTCAGAGACTCTAGTATTAAAATTTTCCCCAGGGGTATGGCCCTGGACCCCCACCCGCTCACCTGCCTTTGGTGGGCACTAAGTGCCCCCCCCCCCCATAAAGTCATATAATTGTGTTTAGACATTGGAGCCATAATAAAATTGAACATCCAGATTATTGTTATGTTGAGAAAAGCATATTTTGGAGAATATTCAACGTAATTTTATTTAATTATTTGAAGGAAATTTCACAATTCTTTTAAGGAAGTTTCGGTAAAAATATTTCAAAATATAAGGAGAAAAAAGGATATTTTGGTTTTTCAAAGTGGAAGCACTGAATCTCGCACATCAATAACACTGATATACACTTAGTGTATATCAGTGATCAATAATTTTGTTTTTGTAAAGTGGAAACACCACATAAATTGAATTCTTTTTCATATTTTGATACACGTGTTGTTTGCAAACTGTGTCTTGGAATACTCTCGTTTTTATGATCAGAAATTCTGTAAGAACCGAAGTATTATACAGATTCAATAAAGGCAGACTCGTGGGAACAGTTAGGTGATATTTTCAATCGAAATTTGACCGTACGGGGAAAAGATCAAAAGCTGAAACTGATGTCTACGAAATGTGATGTTTGTAACAAGGTACTTTCTGAGAAAGGAAATTTGGCAAGACATAGGAGAACACACACTGGGAACAAAACTTTTGAATGTGATGTTTGCAACAAAAGATTTTTGCGATCAGACATTTTAGCTAGCCATAAGAGAACACACACTGGAGAGAAACCTTATGAATGTGATGTTTGCAACAAAAGATTTTTGCGATCAGGCATTTTAGCTAGCCATAAGAGAACACACACTGGAGAGAAACCTTATGAATGTGATGTTTGCAACAAAAGATTTTCTGACTCAAGCACCCTCACTAAACATAAGAGAACACACACTGGAGAGAAACCTTATGAATGTGATGTTTGCAACAAAAGATTTTCTGACCCAAGCATCCTAACTAAACATAAGAGAACACACACTGGAGAGAAACCTTATGAATGTGATGTTTGCAACAAAAGATTTTCTGACCCAAGCTCCCTAATTAAACATAAGAGAACACACACTGGAGAGAAACCTTATGAATGTGATGTTTGCAACAAAAGATTTTCTGACCCAACCAACCTAATTCAACATAAGAGAACACACACTGGAGAGAAACCTTATGAATGTGATGTTTGCAACAAACAATTTTCGCAGTTAGGCCAATTAGTGGTCCATAAACGAACGCACACTGGCAGAAAACCTTATGAATGTGATGTTTGCAACAAACAATTTTCGCAGTTAGGCCATTTAGTCAGACATAAAAGAACACATACTGGAGACAAACCTCATGAATGTGATATTTGTAAGAAGAGATTTT